CTTTGGTTTGCTCGTAGAATTATAAAATATAACATATATACATATACCATAAAATTAAACATAACATGTACCTATTATATACATACAACATGAACTTACAATGTATACATGGACATAACATATAATACTCATGAATACAAACAAATTCACAAATAAAAGTATACATGTAAAGAAATGTAAAAAAAAATAAATATAAAGTAGAGTACATTGCTGCTTTGTGATGAATGCATTGTTATTCTATATTGTATGTTAGTTCCTGATTTAAAATTTTTAACAGTTCTTAGAATGTTCATAAGTTTATTAGTTAATAATGCTCCAATGAAGTAAGCATTGTCAGTGCTGGGAAAGTTCAGAAAATTATGGGAAAAATAAACAAAGTAAAGAATAAAATTTCAAATATTCAGATTTTATGTTACGTCCAAAGAGGCATTTTTTTCATTCACACACACATACACATTTCGAGAGCATTTGGGCTAAAAATAATTAAAAACAGCGTAAACAGATGATTGGAGTCTGTCAATGGGCAATGGAAGATGTAATGTTTTGGGGAACCTTGAATTTCAGATGTTTGTTTCTGAGACATTGAACCTATGGAAGCGTACAGGAAATGCACCGTGACCTGTCATAAACTTTGTAAGAAGAATGGCAGTAAGACGTTTAGCTGAAACGTTTAGCATAAAGTCGCTAGTCTGGCATCAAGTGTGTCTGTTCGACTCCCACACGCTTGACATAACTCCACAAGGTTGACTGTACGTATGTTGTCTTTGCCCACCTTTTCTCAAGTATGATGTCGGTTATCCACCTTGGAACAGCCTGAGAAACATTCTCGGTAATGAGATGGCTTAATAATGCAGGATTTTGCCTATTTGAAAGTGGGAAAGAATACAACGGCAATCTAAGAGGAAAAGATGTCTTCGTGGAGGATTTTTAAGAGACATCGGCTCTAGCCACTCAATACATGAGGAAAACCACGAAAGCCAGCCATGTAGCCAGCCAGTTCGTCCGGATTCTAATCGAGTTTCGAATTTCCAGCATTCAACAGTCTTAACCACTCAGCCACTTTTGAAACTTTGAATAACGGAAGGATTCGACCATTCCCAACGAATGCTCAAGAAGAAAGTGTCTACCAGTTGAAGGGGCTTACCAAAAAATAATGTTATTAATCAACCGTAAAATCAAATTTACACATTGTGCTATAATTGTCATTTAGTCCAATAAAAAGAAATCCAGACAAGTTATTTACCCAATCGAATTCGTTTTCACTGGAGAATAATTTTTCCTCTGTATAACTCAGTTTCTAAAGGACATAACCTTAGTAGATCTTAAATTTACGATTTAGTACATTTCTAAAAGAAATTTTTTTAATTTTAATAGTTTATTTTTCAATATTATTTTTTGAAGCTCCACATACTTTCCATATTGTTTAATAAATAATTCTATGCCTCTGAAAAAGAAACCTATTTTCCTTCAAAGCCAGCCATGAACAGCCAGTATCTTCATAACTGCCAATATCCAACTGCCAGCCAGCCAATACCTTCATAACTGCTCTTTTCATCATCATTAAATCTCTTTCCACGAAGGTCAAATCTCAATTTGGAGAACAAACAGTAATCTCTTAAAGCTAAATATGTCATGTGAGAGGGAAGAGGTCTTTTGAACTCCTTATAAACATTTTGTTTAAGTGCACTTTTACTATTTTTGCATTTTTGCTTTTTTTTTTTTTTTTTTTTTTTTTTTTTTTGTAACTACTGAAAAAAATTGGGTGACCCATCTTGCAGAGACTTTGCTCATATAAAGATGTTCATGCAGATTGCTCAAAACATTTGTTTAAGATAGATACAATCTTCCAGCATTCTGTATAAATTTTAATATCCTATCCCGCAACATTTCCTCCTGCATACAAGGAATATCTTCTGATGTCAACGACACAAATGGTCGATGTTCAGGAAAATAATCTTGTGCGGATTTTCGGCCCGTGCGAAATTGTTTTACCCATACTTTTGCTGTAGAAGATGAAAGACAGTAATCACCATACGCATGCTGCAAATGTAGTTTTATTTGTTTTCCGTAAGATCTTCTTTAGTCACAAATTTAATCGAAGTTAGTTTTAAAAATTTTTGAACAAATTAACGTATCACTTTATTCACTAAACGGTGAAAAAAATGAACGCATACAATTTGACCGATAAAAATTTCAAATTTATTTATAAGATAGGCACTGCAGGTATGCCAGAGGACCTTATTGCTAAACAATTGGCAAGAAATTTTTAATCCTACGTATACAGGCAGAGAAAAGCAGAAAATCAGCAAAAAAATGTCGTGTTTAAGCTTAAGTTTACTAAAGAAATGTTAATTTAATTTAATTCTTTTCTTTCTGTCTCTTTCCGCCAGAAGGTTGCCTCATTTTAGAATTTATATAAATTTTGAGTGACAAGCAGTTTTACTATGAAGATTAGAATTTTACGAATAGAAGAGTGAGAGTTTTGGCCGGCTAGGCTTGCCCTGCTGACAGGAGAAAAGACGGTTTTTACTGCGATTACTTTAGGCTGAAGTTAGATCCTGCTTGGTAAGTGTGCGCTCGAAAGTTGGAACCCACAATTATGAGTTACTATTCGTTGCTTCTAATTACTCAGCCAAATTCAGATTTTACATAAGATATTATCTTGTAAAATATAACTAGATGCTCGAAAACACTTTAAACATTTTTCGATGATCATCTAAGTGTATTTCCTAAAACAATTACTTTACGTACATGTTTTAAACGGGAAAATTCTTTAGCCCCGAATTCTTTAAGCATTTTTTTTTTCTCCGGAGGAACAGGAAAGGGCTGTTAAATGCTGAAAATTTTTTCTTAAATAAAATTTATAAACTTGTGTCAAGCTGAAACAAAAACTTTGATTTAAAGATGAAAAAAGTTCATTATTTATGACATGGAAAGCAAAGTGTAGAATATTTTTAGTTTAAAAATACTGCTAATATTTTCAGCCAAAAAATAAATATTTATTGAAGATTTCATAAGATTTTAATCTGTAATTTAATTTTAAAATAACTTTCCTGTTTAATTTAAATGAGCCGCTGTAACAATAAAGGAAAATTTCAATTTTTTAAAGTTTCCCATAGATGTTTATTTATCTAAAATTTCTCATATGGAAAATTATCGAAATGTTTGTTAGCTTAACTCTAAATTAACTGTATAAATTAGTGCTATAAAATGTTAGTTATAAAAAAACCTGCATTTCTTATAACACTTATTTTATATGAAAAATAAAAAATATTCTATATAGGTATTATTCTATATAGGTATATATTATAAATAGATTAATTCGTGGTTTATAAGGTTTATAAAGCAAATTGTAGTCAGCCGTTATGTTCCTATATTCTAATGTTTTTTTAACATTTTGTGAAATTATCGAACATGTCTAAGCCAAATACGGCACACCTAATATTTGAATTTACCCACGTGCAAGTAGATCCTGCATTAACGAATAAAAATTTGCTTGGTTATCTTACAGACATGTTGTGGCAAAACTAAATTAATAAATGAATTAATTTAATTAAATTTTGTTAGATAAATTATGTTTTTTCTGGGGGGGTGGGCAGTGCAAAGGGCCTTTGTCCCTGAGAGACTATTGTTTTCGTTTTGCGATTTTGTGTCGAATCACTCTGAATGTCCGTTTCACTTTTCAAACTGTTGCCACCCAATATTATCGCTCTGTTTAATAGTTGAAGAAATTAAATAATGAAGAATCTGCATAATCGTATGTATGTTTCTCGCATTGTGATAAAAGCCCTAGAGCCATCCAATTTTGAATGACGTAATCCTACTGCGAATATGGGCATCTGAAAGCTCAAATTTGAAATTTGGAGTTTGTTTTATTAACGATTTCATATTTTGTAAAACTTTAACGAATTTTTCATTAACCACCCCCTAACAATCTAGATTTAGATCTTTGTATAGTTATTATCTGTTCTCCAAACTGAAATCTGATCTTTACGGAAAGAAATTTAATGAAGGTGATGCCGTGAAAGAAGTTCTAATGAAATATTTAAAGGACGACAGGTAAATAATATTTTCAGAGGCCTAGAGACGCTCATTAAAGTGAAAAGTGAAAAGTGCGTGCAGATATAAAGAAATCATAAAAAGTAAACTATTAGAATTTTCTCTATTTTATTTATATAAGTATAAAAATCCAAAAACTTTTTTGAGTCCACCTATGTATATCAATTGGAGGTTATTTATTACGGAGAAGTATATTAAAATTTCGCTTTTGCATAATTCATAAAAACTTCCAGAATTTTTTTTGATCTTTTTAAAGCATGTTATGCTGATTGGATGGATTCGAAAAATCTGGGTTTCTAAGTCCAGCGGAGGGTGGTAAACTCCGATTCGTCAGATTCAGCCCAAATCTTGAAAGTTGACATCCTTGTTACGTGAAACGTGCAAGTACTGCAGAAAAACTAAAATCTTTTTTATTCCCTCTCATGTATGTCATGATGAGAATTATTTCCTCACGCATGCATATGTGGTATGAAAGCTAAATAGGAAGTTCTCAGTTGTTTTTAAATTAGAGAAAGGGGGGAAATGCGAAGGCTAGATGCTTAAAACATCAAGTGCTATAAAAAATTCTTTCTGTAAATTTCATGCTGTAATTTAGGCAAAGTGGAGTACAGCGTAAATTGGCTTGCTTTCTGTAAATTATTGCTTTGATATAAAATAATGTCTGAAATATGGCTAGCTTAAAGCTAGAAAAAAATTTTGAGAAATTTAAAATTGCACAATTACTTTTCATTTGAAGTAAACTGATCTTTTTGCTATTATGAATAAATATTTAAAAATTATTTTTAATAAGATTTTTAAAAATAGCACTTAATGTTAGAACTTTGTTTAAGCTCCTGAGTGTTACGTCATAAATATGATATGTAACACGTGCAGATGAGTTACCTTAGGTAATGGAAATCTTATTTACAGTAAAAAGAAAAATTAAACAGATCAAACCAGTATAAATAAACAATAAAAACATTTATTTTTTTACAAATATATTTTTTACAAAAATAATTTCAATGGAACAAACACATTGGCATCTGATGTCAAATGGTAACATTTCGTCCTTTAAATATCCTAAAAATTTATGAAATAAATTTTAATAAAAAATGGGGTGTTCTTGAGATCGAACATTTCATTATTGTTTAAAAACATAATTAACAATGTATAATAATGAGCAATAGACAATATAAGTTCTAGGTATTTCACTTTCTCTTTAAAAACTTTTCTTAGTAATAGAAAAATGCAAAACGTAAACAGAGCTGAACTTACTCCTTTTATTTATGCATAGCTGCTATATTAAATAGTATTCAGAATCATTTATCTACTATGTTTAACAGACAACAGTAAAAATTCTAAGAAAATATTTAATAAATGCAATTCAATACGTGAATATAATTTCATAAAATGCAATGTGACCGGGCAAAGAATAAAAAATTCTATTGCATTATACACGTTCAAAAAAATGAATAAATATTTTATGTACTTTGCAAGATTTTTGATGCTTACTTTTTGTCGCGTTTTCCTTTAACTAGTAAAGTTACGCATGCATAATTCTTTTATATAATTTGATGTAAAATTTAAGGCACAAAACCACTTTCATATATGAAAAAACTCATCGTATTTAAGGCACCGTGTGCATTATCAAACAGAATGAATATACAATAAAGCCTGGATTATCCGAACATCTGTGTTTACGGATTTATTGATATCCGAACTTGATGCAATTTGTTTGCTCTTTGAAAATTTGGAAGTAAATAAGGTGAATGGAGTTCTTCGAAATCTTCCGTTCCCTTTGCTTCTTATTTGTATCGAATAAATATATAGATCTATTATTTAGATTTTGTAGAAAACATTTGAGGGTGTGAATGTTGATTTCAGATTACGACATCTAAATTAGAAAGAACTCCCTTTCAAATTAAAATGAACTGAACAACGATCAATTATTTAAAGAAAGCAGGAACCGAATTTATTGAATATATTATACCAATATATTTATATTACCAATAAATTTCCAATTAATTACCAGATTTTTAGAAATACCTTATGTTTTTTAATCTTTATTTTTTAAAAGGTATAAACTAGTATCGAAGTAAAACATTTAATGATTAAAAAATATGTTGGTTTAATTCAATTAAATAAGATAATAATCAAGAGCAAATTGTTTACTTGTAATAATTATCTTATAAACATTAAAATAAGTTATTCAGACTCATCTTGGCCTACTCAGTTCGAATAACCGTGGCTGTACTGCATTTCTAATAAACGTCTTTTTAAAATATTTTTACAAAGATGGTGCTCTTTCATTTTTTTGAGGAGTTTCAAAAATATTTATTCTAAAAATGCACAATTGACAATAAAAATCCAGTGCTTAATTCCGAATCTCTTCGAATCAGATTCCTTCCCAATAAAAATTAAATTTAACATTCATTAAACACTTTCTTACCCACATCTCTTTTTCTTACAATGTTGCTCTTTTCTTAACATTTAAACATTAATGGAAAAGACTAGACAAAATTCATCAAAAATGGAATGTACAAACGGAATACGAAGTTCAAGTGTTTGTTCTCTTCTAAGCTCTACGTAAAGTCTCTTCCTACATGACAATGAACGCAATTTCTTTTGCGTTCTTCTGGGCGCACGTAAATGAGGTCTAAGAGGTAACAAATCAACTTGCAACTACATAAAATATCATTATAATTTTGTGTTCTATATATTACGCAACTCGGTAAAGTTCGACTAACAACACTATCTCTTCTGTACTATACTACAATTTTAAATACTACTTTCTACAGTTCGAAAACATTGAAATACTAGAACTATAATAATACTTAAGTACTTTGAGGTATCACAATACTGTAAATATACAGTAAGTAAAACTGCACAAGAAAAGGCACTAAGATCTTGATTAAAACGCTGGTTTGTTTTACAGTAATATATAATCATAATCGCAAATTTAATCTCAATAATAGCTTATTAATCTTAATAATAGCTTATTGAATGAGCAACAGAAGTTGTACTATTCTAGAAATATCAGTTACAACTAACAGAAATATAGTATAAAAAATGAGAATAACAGATGAGTGAATGATTTTCCATATGCCACATAAAATTACTAGCGTGTGTAATATTAAGTAAAAAATGCACAAAAAATGGATATTAACATACAAGCATTTAAAAAAATTAAAAAGTTAATTAAAAAAGAACAAAAGTAAAAAATTGTTCATCTTAAATTGATAACTTAAGGAAGACCGATATGTTTATTTTTTCACTTCGGTATTTAATTAAATATTAATATAACTCACTGTATTTAATTAAACTTGAAATTTAATTACTATAATGACCCGAATATAAGATAGTTTCATACAGAAAATGATTCTGCATTTCTAAAAGTGTCGATGAGAGAACAAAGCTTTCATGTAAATTGAACTCAGACAAACGAGCTTAAAATGCTAAAACTGTTCTATTAATAAGCTTTCTTTTCTCCTCTATCTAAAGAAATTAAAAGTTCAAATATAAGTAATAAATTATTGTAATACTATTTAAAAGTCCACAGAAGAATTTTAAGGGGTGGGAAATCTTATACATTCTTATTAATTCGGACGTATCAGTTGTATTGAGCTTTTTTATGGCAAAATGATGCCCTGAAAGCTAAACAAAGGTAATTTATTATCTAATCACAAGTGTTTATTTATTTAAAAATACTTTTAATTTATTTAGGTCTTAAAAAGAATTTATTTAAAATTTAATACGAAAACACATCTATGGAAATTTAATTTGGATTTTTCAAACAGGAAATATATTATACGTATTTTCACTTTTAATGTGAGTGATAGAGAAAAGAAATAAAGAATACAGAAGAAATAAAATATTGCTACATACAGATAAAGAGATTAAAGTATAGCGATAAAAACAAATATCGATATAAAGGCATAACAAGTGGAAGTCATGTTTAATTAATATTATCTTCTTTTTTATTGCTATTTTTTGCAACTTTATTTTTATCAGGTAAGATATTTCTTGTTGTTTGGCTGTCTTAAATCCGCAACTCTACGATTTGAGCAATTCGTTTCTTTATGCACAAGTACAACACGTGCATATATTCAAGTTCATCTTGGAGTGTCCCCTTCAGTTTATCTTCATTTTCGTCTCCTTTAATCGTACAAATGTTCTTTTTCTGCCACTTCAGGAAATCCTTTAGCAAGAAATGGAAGCCGCACGAACTTCCGGTCCGGGACCGGAAGCTAGTCAAGCAAACCCACTGTCAAATATGGCCGTAGGGTAGGTAACTACGAATTGGAAAAGTTTCTAGGATTCGGCGATTTGTGTGTGGGAACGCTTCGGTGACCAGTCACTTCGTCCGAAGTTCCGGAGGAATAGAGAGAGTAGTCAAGGGCTTCCCTTGAAGTTTTCAGTCACTCACGAAGCAGAACATTTCTTCATTTCACCACCCCCGTACTTTCATTTCATTTTGCTTGGGGTAGGGAATGACAAACATATCCTGAGATAAAGCAACACTGACTTGAATATAGTTCTTTCACCACATCTTTTTTTTTTTTTTTCGTAGTTGTGTGACATCATTGAAGCCATAGTAATTTACGTATGTCCTCCATGAAGAAACTATACTTGCACACACTTCCAATTAAGCAGGATATGACGTAAGACCTTTTTCCTGAGAAAGATAAAAAAACATTATAATTAACAAGCTGAATCAAATAACTTATTAAAAAATAAATAGAGATTTCTTTTCTTTTTTCCTTTTATAAAAGTTTTTCTTCGTTTTAATACTAAACATTTCCAAGTTTGGAATAGGTGTTGTTTTTCTAACGGCTTAAAGATTTTGGAACTTTTTAGATTTGTATATATTTATTAAATAATCCTCTCACGATATTTGCATGCTTATGACAATGATTGTATGCTTATGAAGCTTATGTAAGAATGAAGAAATTTTTGTTATGATAAATATGGAAGAGACATGGACATTCTGCATCCTCTTAAGACAGGAAGAAAAGACTCGATTACATTATGGTAAATAATTAAGTGATATCCTTAGATTCAAGAGCATTTATTATACTTATTAGAACAATATTAGTTTTTACTAAAATATTTATTTAATTATTAACAACAACAACAAAAAAAAAAATCAGGTTTTTAAAAACGTCAACACACCTGGGAAGTTATGTCATTTTGAGATAAAAAGAAATACTATTTAACATTTTAGGCTCAATTACTGGTAGCGATATGGATCTAAAAGTGACATGAAGAACGAAACGTGCACTCGACACTCATTAAATATTCAGGTTTAATGTTTTAATTACTTACTCCTTGAAAAGTTATATTTGAAGCATTAAGCAAAGGCTGATTAATAGATTTATTAGTTTATTTTATTGTATATATTTAACTCTTTAATTACGTTTTCCTATTTCCCTTTTGGAATCAAATTTCCCAAATATTTTCCAACCTTAATAACATAAATAATAATATTAAATAACTCATTCTCACTCCCGATTGCTTGTAGCACTTTTAATTCCGTACACAGTTTTTTCCTGGCATAGGATATTTTTTTTTTTTAAGTTGTTTGTAAACTTATTTATAATTTCTTAAATTAAATCCTTTGCAGCTTAAGAGCAGAAATGTCTTATTTTTATTGTGTTTATTCGTAATTATTGGATTATCTCCTAGAAAAATAATTTATGAAGATAAATAAAACTAATGATATGTAATAAAATAGTTAGTTTAGTAAAAATAAATTAAAAATCGTTTGTAAAAAAATTCATTAAAAGCAAAAATTTTATATTAAGAGTAAATATTGAAATAAATATATGTATGTATATGTATAATGATGTAGACTTAGATGTAATGCTGTAGAAATACATTAATTTCAACAAATGTTGATTCAAAATGAACAGCAAATTTGGCAGCCGAAACAAACCAAATATTCATTTTTATTTCAATTGATAGCTGTGGCCACAATTCACTTAACAGTTTAATCGGGTCAATTTCCAGAATATTTATATTTTTGATATTGTTGTGGTGGGAAGAAAGCAACGCTGCAGCATCTTAGCGGCAACAGAGGTAGAAGTAAAGTGCTTAGTTATCCACTATGACAGCGTGCTTTATTAAAAGAAATGTTTCGGTTCAGGAAATTTTAAGTTCCGAATTAGCTATGTCATCTTCCTTATGTGAAGATCATGCGATATAGATTAATCTAGAAATGACGCAGTTCAGAGGAAGCTATTAAGCAATTCCTGTTTTTAGAACAGAGAGGAGAAATACCGAAATTAAAATGAAGAATTAATGCGCTGTTGCTAATTTAAGCTATAATTTGATTAAATATTTTTCAGCTTACATATTACCTCCTCCCCTTCAAAGAAAAAGAAAGCTTGGCGACAGAAAAGCCTTTTTAAGAGATAAAGGGATAAAGCATTAGAAAATAAAGAGAAACATAATTTGAAAAATAAAATCATTAAATTGTGATTAAAATGGTTATTTAAATAATGTTTTAGCGGCAACAGAGGTGGCAGACAAATGCATAGTTATCCAGTACAGCAGCTTAAGTTGGAGAAAGGTTACGGTTCAGGAAATGTTTAATTTTCAAATTAGCTACGTCATCGTCATTGTATGAAGGTCATATCATAGGGATTAATATAGAGATGACGCAGTCTAGAAAAAGTTAATAAGCAATTGCTATTTTAATACAGACAGAAATAAAAAAAAGAAAGAAAATTATTAAGAAATAAAATTAAGAGTTGCATATCAACCTACATTTATGAACATTTGAAAATATTTTACCATTGTTTGGTTTTAATTTCAAATGAAGTGATTCAGTACATTTCGAGAGACAAACTTACTCCATGAAGAACATGGAGTATTCTATTGTTCGGAGTAAAACATTTATCTTTCTACAAACTTTTCACCGAGCCACGTTTTTCGAAATTAATCCGTTTGTTAAATTTGTAAGTTATTTAAAAGTAGTGTTAGATTTCTGAAATATTATAAATATATCTTTTAACCATTAGATTAATGGCAGTTAATTAGTATCATTAATGAATATTTTAATTTTGAGAATCATCATAAAATATAACGATATTGAGAAAGGTAACAGTGTGACGTATTAATCATAACTTAAAAATTGCTAAATTTATTGGTGATAATGATCACCTCACTAACTACCAGCAATGAAAGTTAACATTAAATAAGGATATCCTTTTGTTAACAAGAGCAATTCATTAATAACAGCTTTACTGTGCGAACCCATTAGTAACCATCACTGATGTTATCATCATCAGTTCAGCATTTGTTTGGAAAATGCCCTCAGAAAATCTCGATTATTATTTATTAAAACTGGCGATTAATAATTTATTTCTAATATGATCAGTCATTAATCATCCTATATGAATAGCTAATATACTACATTGATCTAAAGAAAAGCTAAAATTCGACAAATATGAAATATCAAATGAATTATATCTCCTAACCAAATATTCAGAATGAATGAGGATAGAATTCTTAACGAATTTCATTATTAGGAATTTTTTCCCTATATCATTAAAAGTTATCATGCATCCTAGTGACTGTCAGAAATACTGTTCGTGATTGTAGCCTTTTCATAAATCTTATATCTCGTATGAAACGTTTTGATGTGGTCTAAGGCACTTTAGTGTACCCCATTCATATCGTAACCTTTAAGAAATAAATTAAAAAGAATTAATAAAAAAGAATTAATAATTAAACTACATGAAAACAAAAGTAAATATATAATCTGAAAAGTTATTTATTTAAAACGTCATGTGTAAAATGATACTGCATTTCGTTTACATTTGGACAGTTTGCAATTAGTTTGTTTTGTTCTGAAATTGTAAATTTATGAGGAATTCATCAGTCTTTTTTTTTTTTCATGGGTGTCAAAATTTAATTATGCAATAAACAGACTGATTACAGATACCCAGATATTTACTTTTATTTAGCTGATAAGCTAATACTCAAAGTTAAAAATCTATTTTTTTTTTTTTTTTTAAGAGTTGCGTCTTAAAATCAAGATAGTTATAAAAATTTATGAAAAAAAGGTTGTTTTATTTATTTATTTATTTATTGATGAAATCAAAACATTCAAAAAACGCTTCATATATGCACCCGTCGTTTTTAATGCAGATTTGAATTTATTTTGGAGCTAGCTGTCATCAGCTCCGTACCACTGACACGATTCTGAACTTTACTTCGTGTTTTCTTTCCTATTTGTGTCTTTCAAGAAAATATACTTCCATCAGTTCTCGGTTCAATTGTGAATATATACCGCTCTAAATTATACTTTATAATTACATCTAAGAACTTCCACCGTCCGAGACCTTGATGCTTTTACTCGGATCAGCTCTTGAACATAGAAAAATAAAATAAAATAAAAGCCGAATTTTTGAAAAGACCCGAAGTGAAGATTGAAGGCAGGGATGCAGATTGAATAGGTGGTTATGGCTCCGTAGGTAAAGGTGCTTTTCTACCTGCCCCAACAAAGGCTATCGACCACACTTGTCTGCCATTGTCCACCCAGAGTTCTGGATTCTTGTACAAAGACAGGCTCCTTTCTCAGAAAGGTCCCCCTTTCTTTTAGGGCCCCGGTACTCGATACCCTCCCTGGCCCTTCTTCCATTATGCCAGGCCGCACCTACATTTTGCATTTATTTTATTTTATTTATTTTATTTCTTTCCCCTCCACCTTATTCTTGGTGTCGTGAAAAGAAAGTTCATCCAGGCTTTGCTTCTTAAAGAAGTCCCCTGATCTTTCGTTTTTTTTCTTTTTTTTTAAATCGGAATCCTCTAGGTTACTGGAGGGATTCTTAAGGGGAGGGGAGCTCTTGCGTACGCTTTGGGTGTGTACTCACGCATGCGTATGTATGCTACGAGAAACCTGTCCGCTTCCGGTCCAGTCAGGCATCTCCAGAAACCCTGACTTCCGCCTAAAGTTCCTTAAGAGAGCCGATCGAGCACCATTCCTCAACAACTTTGCACTAAAAAGGAAGAATGATCAAGAAAATCACACTGGGCAGAAGTGGGGAGAGAATTTCTTATATAATATGTATATAATCCTTATCTCGGGACATCAGAAAGTTACCCCTTCGTTCCTTCAAAATTCTGAAAGGCGTGGTATGAGTGTTTTTTCATGCCACACACACATCAACAGTCTTCAAAAACACGAGCCTGGAGTTTTTCATGCCTTAATTTTTCTATTCCCTCCTTCCAAACTTGATCCTGTCAACAGCCACAAAGGTATCATCAAGGAGAAGGCTGCCTTTTGTGGAAGAAGAGAGAAGAAGCCTCCCCCCTCCATCCCAATTTAGAGGGGACACCTCGACAAAGAAGCGCCACATTGGAATAGAAGAGCACGAAAGCGGTGACGAAAGAGTTTAATGAAAATTTAAAACCTCTAGGTAGGGCAAAAAATGAGTCCGAAAAGAAAGGATGATGATGACGGGACGACCGTTAAGTTGCGTCACGCTCTTAGAGAACGGGAGGATTAACTTCCAAAGGGAAAATGGCTATAAAGGAACTCTTGCCAACGGCTAAATGATAAGCAGGAGTCTGCAAAGGGGTTGAAGAAAACTCACGCGGAAGTCTTAACCAAGAAAAGAAGCAGAGATAGCTCGTAAACTAATCTGGATCATCCACTATTGATGTCAA